TAAAAATACCTAATACTGAATGAAATATTTTCACTAATTTGTGTTTTCTGTGACTTGACAAATAGGTTGGTACAGTTAATTATATGCCACCAGAAGCAATCAAAGATATGTCTTCCTCAAGAGAAAATGGGAAATCCAAATCAAAGGTACTCTATAAGTTATTTACATTCCATTTATCTGATATCAGTAGGAATTGGACTATAATGGACTTTCAGGGCAGCATTTGTGTTAGAAATGCAACTGTGATGTTTTGAGTTTTTAAAATTAAAAAAATTAAGATCTAACGACTCTGATTTGCACACCTTTAAATAACAGAATTTATAATCTATTGATTATAAATCTATTTTTGTTCTCTATTTTTCAAATCTATTTTTGTTCTCTCTCTGACTCTTACATTTTATTTCTTAACATTTATTCAGTTGTGAATTCAGTATTTCCAAACACAACTTAATGTGTAATTTTCCTGGCCTGCCACTGGCGACTTGTCTTATTTCACCACCTCAAAGTGACCTTTGTGTTAGCCTCATTGGTGCCATTTGTTAGGTCTACTTTGCCTGCCATGTCGCCTGCTTCCAGCTCCCAGGCAATGTAACCAAGCAGGTGTGAGAACATCTTGTCCATTTGTGACTTAACTTGCCCGGTTTCTATATCTGTAAATTAGGCTAACAAATAGTACCTATTTTAAAAGTAATTGAACATTAAATGAGAAAATATGAAACCCATAATACCTTATCTAGCTCAAAATAATTGCTTGATAAATGTGCTTTTATTTACTAAATTATATATTTCTTCCTAGAAAAATATGACTTCTATTTCAAATGACTGGCTTAAAATTATGCCAAATAGTTATCGGTTTAACGTCCCCATTTCTAATACTTAGATTTGTCCTCTTTTTTTCTTTTTCTTCATTAGACTTACATGGCTTCATTAATTTTAAAGAACCAGACCTTGATTTCATTTCTTAATTATATTTTCTATTCTCTAATTTTTGCTATTTGTATTTCCTTTATCTTTATTTTTTCCTCTATTTTCTGGATTTAAATAATTGCTAATTTAATTTTAGTATTCTTATAATTTAAATTGCATTTAGCTTACTTTAGCTTATAGGTTTACTGTAGTGTTTTTATTTTTATTAATGCTTAATATTTGTAATTTCAGTTTTAAAATTTTTTTGTTTTCTCTTACTTTAAGATACTTATTTTTAATTATATGTGGAGCTCAAAGTTGTTCAATTGTCAACTTAGTGATTTAGTATGTATTGATAAATCTCCAGCTATCGAATGGCCTTGGTAATTCTGAATAGAAGGCATTTTATCCTGCCATGTGAGGTAATACCTCCACTATTACAGAGCTCAAATCCCCTCTCAATCTAGCCTCAAATTGTTTTCACCTAGTGAACACTATTTGTTGACTCTTCCGACTTTTTGGATTTCTTTTGTGAGATCTGTTAGACACCTTCTTTACTTCCCTCTGCTGTATCCTTCAAATGCCTCTACAGAAGACTTGTGGCTATTGGTGGTGTGACTCCACTTGCATTCTGAGTTCATGGGTATAGTTTTTCACCTGGTTTTGTTGTAATATTTTCCATATGTTTATGGTTTTGCTACCACATTACTTACCTTATCTGGCGATATGGAAAGTTTGAAAAGTTATACTTCTACAACCACCGCCATTTCCCCAGAATCTCAACCCTTTTTAATCCATGATTTATTTAGAAATTGACTGACTTTCCAGATGTTTAAACTGATAGATGGTATGGATTTTTTAAGATTATTACCAATTTTCAGTTTTCTTTGTGTTCAGATATTAGTATCTATTTTATGTCATTTCCTAAAAGGCATGCTAAGATCTATTCCCCCAAAAGAATTTAATATAGTGTTTGCTTAGTATAATCAAATGTAATGTAGTTTCATTGCATAGAAGTTCGTGTCTGTCATTTCTTGCTTGATTGTATCTTTTATCACTACAATGTGACTTTCTGTCTTCTCTTAAGATTTAGCCTCCTAGCCTGGCTCTATACTTTGTTTTCTTGGGTTAAGGATAGCTCAGAAAACCTTTTAAAATTTGATACATACTTATTAACTTATAAAATATTATTATCCAGTAATTTGGGTGAAAACAGGTAAATTTAATATTTTTAGTTTTGTATTTTCATAAGCTGACAAAATGTATTAATTTGTTTCAGTTGAAGTATTTTAATTATGAATTTGTTGAAAAATTAAGTGTGATTTATTCATTTATTTTAGATCAGCCCCAAAAGTGATGTCTGGTCTTTAGGATGCATTTTGTACTATATGACTTATGGGAAAACACCATTTCAGCATATAATTAATCAGATTTCTAAATTACATGCCATAATTGATCCTAATCATGAAATCGAATTTCCTGATATTCCAGAGAAAGATCTTCAAGATGTATTAAAGGTAATATTAATAACATATGAATATAGAACAGGATTTCATATACTTGTTTGCTCAAAAGAAAGCTGAAACTAGAAATGTAACTGGGATACATATATATGACTTATTCTTTTTAAAGTCAAAAGGGTCATTTTCAATTGTATATTGAAAGGAATTGCTGACTGAATTACCTTTTTTATTTTTCCAGATAATGTTTATTGACGTAAAGTGTTTTACATCATTGTATCTGCTTTGGTGGTTATAGGTTTAAACGTCTACAAATATATATTTTCACACCATGCCCACCACCAATGCCCCAGTAATCCTCTACTCTGTTCCATTGGGCCCCTCCCCTCCTTTCCCCTATTCCCACCCCGCTACCCTTCCCTCTGGTTGCCCCAGTTTTGCATTCAGATATCAAAATTTTGTTAGTGATTTGCTTCTGACTGGCCCTTGTTATGTTTCCCATGTTATATTCCACATGTAAGTGATGCCATCAGTATTTGTCTCTTTCCATCTGCCTTATTTGAGTTAACTTTTTTTTTTTAAAGATTTATTTATTTATGCATACAAGAGCCAGGGTACAGCCAGAGGTGTGGGGGGTGAGAGGATTCACCATAGACAAGGTGGGGAACAGAACAGCACATTGACTGAAATGCACTGCTGAGGGGAGCAGCGGGCGAGTCAGGAGAGGTCTGCTGCACCATGTGGGTTGCTCCCTGGCCAGCCAGGGATCGAACTTGTGCTGCGGGGCTGCGGATAGCTTCATAGGTTGCATCTTAAACCCTTGCACCACCAAGGAGGCCCCTGAGTTAACTTTTTAAGGCATGTGAAGTTGACGCTGAAGAAATTTTAAAGCTTATGGATAGTTTCAGGTATTGCAAAAATGATTTGTGAAATGATCTTTTCATTTCTGAGTGGAATATCGAGATAACTTGTGCAATCTGATGCAATCTGGAAAAATACCAATATTGCATAAGAATATTTGCTTTGTCTTTAAAAAAAATAATATTTATTTTTATAGTGCTGTTTAATAAGGGACCCTAAACAGAGGATATCCATTCCTGAGCTTCTGGCACATCCATATGTTCAAATTCAAGCTCATCCAGGTACTTCTTTAAAATCAGTTTATTACCAGGTTACTAATAAAGTCTAAACTGTTACCAAAAAAAACAATTTGTATTGGCTACTCTTTTCCAGCTTGTCTCCTTCCTTAAGGAAATCCTTTTATGCCAAATACTAAAATAAATTAAATCATCTTTTTTTAAACTTGTTGGCAGTTATTGTTTCTTATCCTAAATAAGGGGCTATGATCAGTGAATACAAGAATGGCAGTTATAGTGCTGTTAAACGGAAGCACCTATATTTTTCTTATTGCTACCATGTGTTACTGAGTGTATATTTATTCATATTTTATAGGTAACCAGATGGCTAAGGGAACCACTGAAGAAATGAAACATGTTCTGGGCCAACTTGTTGGTCTGAATTCTCCTAACTCCATTTTGAAAGCTGCTAAAGTAAGTATGTCTATTGTCCGTTGACATGAATTTTAATTGTTTTGTATAGTTAAGTGAGTTAAGACACTTAAACAGGTAATCTAAAGAAAAGTTGTTCACTCATTAGATCAATGAAAATTAAAATTAAATTAAATTTAAAATTATATTTAAAATTAAATTATTATTAACAATTTAAAATTAAATTATGAAGTGCATTCAGAAGATCTGAATGCTGTTAGATCTTGATTGTAAGTTTTATTAGGAATCTCTTAACACCATTCTTTTTTTTTTTTTTTTTTAAAGATTTATTTATTTATTTATACAAGCACTGGGTACATTCAGAAGCGCGGGAGGGTGAGAGAATTCACCAGAGCCAGAGCGGAGAGCAGAGCAGGCAGACACTGCTGAGGGGAGCAGTGGGCGGCAGGAGAGGTCTGCACGCCATGTGGGACCCTTGCCCGGCGGCCGGGGATTGAACTGGCGCTGCAGAGGCTGCAGGCAGCTTCGCAGCCCAGCGCTCAACCGCTGCGCCACCGGGGAGGCCCCAATTAACACCATTCTTAACACAGTTTTTGAACTCATTTCTTCTAGCCAATTTTTCTCTTAACCAGCCTAGAGAAATCATAGCGTTTATCACTGTACTGACTTCTGTGAAGCTGTATGTAACAGTCAGTACATTTCTCGAAGCAAATGTTTTAAACCTTTCAGCTTCCCAGTGCCCATTTATGTCTGTACCATTACTTTTGTATCACACAGCCATCAAACACCTGGTCATTTCTAGAAACCTGAGTATACTTAGTGACCTATTTGTTTAGTACCAAGCAGTTAATAATTTATTTCAGTTGAAACGTTACAATATAATTAAACTAAAAACTGTTAATTTTCTGAGTGTGGTTAAGCCAATCTAAGATGTTGGTTACATTTCTGGAGGAATTTTCTATATATAGTCATTTAAATTTTCTCAAGTGAAGGTTACTAAATCAATGGCTTTGGCAATTAAAATTGGACAAAATAATCTTTTAAAAAATTGAGGTGGATTACATACTTATCACTAAAGTTAGGTGTTCCTGATGGCAAAGATGTCATTCATAATTTAGGTATTGACTTAGTCTTAAATTTTTTTAAATATGTGAATTATAGCTAATTATACTTATTCATATAACAATTTGATTTTTAAATGTCTTCTTTTCATTAGTTTAAATAACATCTGAATGTGTATTTCCAGATAAGTGTATTTTACATTTTAGTCATTTATCTAAGGCCAGCTTTATTTAAGAAAAATTAAGATAAGGTCACAAAACCTTGAAGGTACAGATAAATGCACATTTATTAGCTCTGTTACATTTCTTTTACAGAAAAATTGAGTTGTACCTCATTCATGATAACTGAGATATTTAATATTAAGTTAGGTGTTTAATATTCTTTATTATCTCTAATAGTTTATAAAATATTTCCTAATTATAAGAACAAAAGAACAGCTTATTGCATTAGCATATTTGGAGTTATATTAATCTGCTAATACATAGAGTTTAAAAATTACAAAACATGTATGTTTTCAATTTCAGACTTTATATGAACACTATAGTAGTGGTGAAAGTCATGATTCCTCCTCATTATCCAAGACTTTTGAAAAAAAATGGGGAAAAAAATGATTTCATCATCTTATAAACTGTCAAATACCACCTGTAAAATATATTGGATTATTACACTCTTGACTTCTTATGGAAATCTTCTCTTGAAGACAACTTAATTCTGAAATGTCATTTTCAGAAACATTCAGTGGATTATCGTCAAAGAAAACTGTAAAAATAATAACCACTAATGACACTGTATATATTACTTTGTAGATTTATTTTCTCTTTTTTGTGCTTTCCTGCAAATCTAATCTATTTAATATTTCACAGTTGGAATAGTGGGTGGACAACTGAAATATATTCTTAAGAACTATGTAAATAAAGCATAAAATGACATTAAAGTGTTGTAAAATTATTTTCTTCAAGGAAATAAATGTGTTGTTAATATGGGAGCAAAATTTTTAATAAAAATTGTATTAGAGGAGGTTATAAAAATAGAACTTATTGAATGAATATTGGAGAAAAGAAATCTAAAGGATTTGATTGCTAAAATAGATTTCCTAATTGCTTCATAGCACTGAAATATTCCAGAGTTTAGGGCTGCACTTGGCTCTTTTAATTCTCCCTTTAATTTTTAGTAGTATCTATTATTCTTTGTATTGAAAGTATCATGCTGGATTCTGTGGCGTAATTTGTGTAGTACTGGCCCTCCTTGTATGACTTCATAATGGGTAACTACAAATGTAGCCTCAGCATCTTTAGAACTGAATCTAATAAGTTAATCAAAGATATCATATAATTATACTTTTCCCCAGTTTTTTTCAAGATTTTAATAAACTTACAAAAATTAAGATTTTTTTTTTAAGAAGTTCTAGTCACATCAAAATTGAGGGAAAGTGCAAACATTGCCACCACACATGCATAACCTCCCTATTATCAACATCCCTCACCAGAGTAGTATGTTTGTTACAATTAATGAACGCTGCACTTAGGCATCATCGTAATTACTCTTGGTTGTGTACATTGTTTGGACAAATGTACAATGAGATATATGCATCATTATACTATTAAAGAGTGTTTTCACTGCCCTAAAAATTCTCTGCTCTGCCTATTTATCCTTTCTTTATTCCCCGCCTATAGGCAACCATTGATCTTTTTGTTATCTCCCTAGTTTTGCCTTTTCCATGTCACATAGCTGAAATTAAACAGTTTGTCACCTTTCACATTGGCTTCTTTCACTTAGTATTGGCATTCAGGGTTCCTCAGTGTATTTTCATAGCTTGACAGCTCATTTATCTATAGTCTAATATTTTTATATCTAATAATATTCCATTGTGTGGATATACCACAGTTTTTCCAACTGAAGATCACTTTGGTTGCTTCCAAATTTGGCAATTATGAAAAAAGCAGCTATAAACATTTGTATACAGGTTTTTGTGTGGATGTTAAGTTTTCAACTCCTTTGGGTAAATGCTAAGGAGTATTAATGCTGAATCATATGGGAAGAGTATTTTTACTTTTGTAAGAAACTGCCAGACTCTCTGCCAATGAGGCTTCCATTTTGCAATCCTATCAGCTAAGTTAGAAAACCCAGCACCCTGGGTTTTTATTGGGGGCTAGCTATGCACTTACTCTTTTCCTAGCATATATTAAAATTTTAGATTCCTGGGAGGAAAGCAGATGTTTATATAAACCACATTGCACCTCTCAAGCACAAGGAGCCACTCTTATTATTCAGGCAATAGTGGGAAGTTCCCAGACTCCAACAAAGAGCTGCCTTGACACACAGGGTAGGAAATTTCTCTCAACAGAGGCATCACGTGGTCCTAGATAAGGTATTCCTATGTTTAAATAAATGAAGTAAATTGAAGTCGCTGCCCTACAGGTGCTCATTTCTGTGTCTTTTCCTGTGATATGAGGACTAACAATTTTTTGTTGGATGTAATCCAAATGTCTTGACATTGACTGACTAGTTCTCACTGATGCATCGAACAGATGCATGGAAATACTGACAAGACACCAGGGGCAAACAGTATGCCTGTGTGTGTCCACAGCTCTGGGAGCTTGGTGAGGATGGTATGCAAGGACTGCTGTCCTTCCCCACCCTGTTTATGTCCCTGAGGGGGATTCCTGGCGTCCCTGGCGTCCTTCTCTGGTGGTAACTCCTCAAGGGCTGATTCTTTATCCTCACTAGATATTCTCTGCACCCCAGGCTAGAGACTCCTTTCCATTCACACTCTAGGTTGACTCATTATCCCTAAAACTGGAAAGGGCCCCCTTGTGATCAAAGTACCAAGGGCACTGCCCATCCCCCAAATTTGGAAATTTGTGGCCCAGTGAGTCAAGGTTCACAGTTCTCAGGTGGGTGTGGAGTGGCAATGACAACAGTTGTGGTTCTGGTCCCAAACAGGAATTTCTGGTTTGGGTGTGGGTCTGCACAAATGAAACAATACTACTGGACTCAGCCTGCAACAGGCTGGCTAAGTGGGTCAGGTCAGGTTAGAAGACATTGTCAAACACTGGTTACCCAATCTATCCAGTGAGTGGCCAGCACACTTCTTTGACTCTACTGCAAATTATTACCTTATTGTCCTTAACAGCTGGTCTTTGCTTTTTTTTTTTTTTTTTTTTTGTAAGATTTATTTTATTTTTTTTGCATACAAGAACTGGGATCTGCCTAGGCCAGAGGTGCAGGAGGTGAGAGGATTCACCAGAGACAGTGGACCTACTGAAATCCACTGCTGAGAGGAGCAGCAGGTGAGACAGGAGAGGAGTACTGCGCCATGAGGGTCAGCTTCCTGGCGGGGGATCAAACTCATGCCACATAGCTTGATAGCGCTGAGATTTTAACCCCTGCACCACGAGGGAGCCCCTGGTCTTTGCTGCTTAATCCTCTATGACCAGTGGCAACCTGGAAGAAGACCAAAATATATAACTCAAGCAGCAACTCATGATCAAGACTGAATTTTTCATCTTTCTAATAATCCACATGGCCTTATATTCACCATTTCCCATTTACTTCCTTGCCATTTTGATCAGTAAGTTTGAACTCCAAATAATATTGTTTCCCTTTTTTGGTTGCTCTTTCCGTTCCTATCCAGGTACACACCAACTCCTGTCAGTGGTTCCTTCCTTCTCCTTTACTTCCGTTTTTAAGACCATCACCCTATCCTGGTCCTCAGCTGTCCCCACTTCATCTTGTCTCCAACCTATCAGTACAACAGCGGTTGTCAAGGTGAGCTTTGTGGGCCTCTAAAGCTCAAATCTTAAATGATTTCCATTCCCTACCATATTAAGCTCAAACTTACCAACTGCATTTCTTTAGCTCTAGCTGTGTCCTTGTCACATTTATGCCATTCCATGCCACTCCTCTTCATGCTTGCAGACTTACTCATATCCTCTGCATCTTCATCCACATAAACCAAGTTTTACTCCTGAATCTAGTCCAGAGCTTTATCCTTCCCCTGAACTTACTGGGTTTTTTATGCACTTACATGATCTAATGCATTCATTTAGTACTTATTTGTCCCATGTATATGAATTGTTTCCCCAAGTAGATAATAAGCTTCTTAAGGTTTTACAGTATTAAACTTCCTAGCACCACACAATGCCTTGTTATTTCCTTATACTTTCAGTCATTCTAAAACTGACCTGATAAAAACACCAGGTACATTTGTGGAAAACAGGGATTCTCAAGACCCTTCTATTGACCTTCTCAATTGAACTCTTCACAGGACAGCCCTAAATCCATAGTTTGAATAAGTATCAAAAGGGTTTTCCATCATCAAGCGTGTTTGGGAAACACCACTGAAAACACTATGTGCTTAGATATGTTGAGGTTTTTTAATAGTGAGTTTTTGACAAAAGAAACAGGCAAAAAGAAAAGCCTTTCTTTATTCGCTCCACCCTGTGAGCACATGGTCAGTACTTTCTGTGTGTGGAAAATGTGAAGCAAGGTGAGGAAGAACAACCAATGAAGTCAAATAAAGGTCAGACACCGAGGGCACAGCACAGGAACTGGACAAATGGACAGTCTGATTTAAATGATTTCCTGTTTGGCTTGGGAGGGGCATGCCAACCTAATGCCACTTAATGAGTGAGAAAACAGGTAGTAGCAACAGTCCTTCTGCCCACCTGCGACTATGCAGGTGCTTCCTTTCTCCAACTCTCCCTCTGCAGGACAGCAGCCTCCTGCCTGCCCGTGACCTGCACCATGCCGGAACTTCTCTTCACTGACCTCCCTCAGTGGAGGTAGCTCTCAAGGCCGCCTGCCTGCAACCATGCAGGCCTCTCTCAGCCAACCTGTCCCTTTTGGAGCAGCTCTTTCTGCCTGCTTGTGTCTATGAAAGTGTCTTTTACTCCTCTGTCCCTTTGCCTAATAAACCTGCTCTTTAAATAAAAAAAAAGAAAGAAAGAAAGAAAAAGAAAACAAGTAGTGAGGTGGGCATATGCATGGGGAACCAAGAGACATGATAAAATAAAAGTACATTTTATTGTGTCTCACTCTGAGCTGATTGGTTTTGACATGCATGAAGTACCAAGAGCCAGGGAATTGTCTTCTCTCTGAATCATACTTTGCAGAAATCCCAAGGAGGGCAGTCTTGTTTAAAGAATGTTATCATTCAGGCTAATTTCTGTCACTTTGTAGATGAAGAAACTGAACCCGAAAGTTAACTTACTGGGCAATGCTTTTCAGTTTATTTCCAGGTCTTCTGATTCAACCATCTTATGCCTCTTCTTTTTTCAATCTCTGCAGCTTTCTAAAAAAATATTTCTTGAGTTCATATTTTACAAAGTTTTATTTTATCTGGACAAGAATAATTAATACCTAACGATCCCAAATTTTCAGAAGTTAGACCTAATCTCAAAAAAATGTTAATAACTGAGATGAACTAAAGTAATGATGCAAAACAACTAACGGAATAACTGGTAAATACTTGACCTTTAATGCCTGTCTATTCTTTTGGTCTGTATGAATTCATATCTTCACCTGAAAGTTAATCCATTTCCTCTGCATAATTAAGGAATTCACTCTGGTGTCATTCAGATCTGAATTTGAAGTCTGGCTATGTCATGTACTGTGTAATTTTGTTCGTAACTGTTTAAGTCTTGTTTTTTTTTTTTAATCTACAAATGCCTACAAAATACCTTGCATGATTGCCATTAAATGTAATGATTCTTGAAAATTGCAGCACAATGCCAGACATACGATAAGTATGTTATAAATGAATTACATTTATTATTGGTTTACAACAAAACTTTAACCTAATTAGTCTCATAAAGACACAGTAATGGAAAGAGAGTGGTGTCTGAGTTAACTACCTGGGTTTAAATCTCAAACCCACTACTACTTGTGTGATATTGGAAATATTATTTAAGTTCTGTGTCTCGGTTATTATTACCATTGTACAATGAAGACCCCCTACTTAATTCATGGGGTCGTTGTGGGGACTGATTGAGTCATCATATGAAATGTGCTCAATACAGTGCTTGGCTTAGCAGAAACACTCGATAAATTATTGAATGTCTTCACGCATTTAATAACCAAAGAAAGCAATCAGCACAAAAGTAACTAAATAATTTTTAGATTCTGAAGAATGTGGATGGTTACCAGGGGGCCAGGAGAAGGGGGTTGGAGGGGATAATGTGATAGTGCATTGGGCCTGAAGCTTTGGTGGAAGGTGAATGAAGCATGGGCACATATTGAGATGTGAAGCCGTACTTGTGAATGATGTAAATCAATAAAATTTGATTTTAAAAAGCAAAGGAAAGCAAAAATATCTTGCAGCATAATTTTGAGGAGTAAAGAGAGCAATATTGTAAAATGCCCAGAACATAGTGGACACACAATAACAGCATGTATAATATAGTAATAATAATAATAATAATAATAATAATAATGTGTATTGAGATATACAAGTTTACATTAATTTTTTTGTGATTGTTGAAGAAGAAAATTTGTGCAAAGAAGGGTGTCAGAGAAATGCCAAAATCAATGGATAAAGGTCAGAGGAGAGGCTTGTTGATGCTAAGCAGAGGCTTGTTGGGCAATGGAAAAAGTGGAGAACTAGAAGACATTTAGATTTTATGTAACTAATCTTCACCTCTTATAGTGAGGAAATGGAAGCCCGGGAATGTTCCAAAACTTGTGCAAAAACTTACTGCTTTTTGGTGCATTTTAATGTACTGAAATGAACTTACTGCCCTGGAACATTTGGTTCTGAAGATTAGGATACATTTACTCCTCCCAATTTGTGTCTACTGTTTGCATGGAAAC